ATTTGTTATATATCCGGGTGTCCGGATACACGTGGACAGACATCCACAGATATACACAATTACTCCCCTACCTCCTGTGAATTAATCCCGGTTGAGCTTCACGTCCATATAAGGGCACCACGGGGTGACCAGCCCCTCCCCACCCAGCCCCACCCCATCCAGCCCCACCCTCCCCACCCAGCCTCTCCCCACCCAGCCCCTCCCTACCTTTCCCTCTCCACCCAGCCCCACCCCTCCTACGTGGACAGACATCCACAGACATACACAATGAATCCCCTGCCTCCTGTGAGAATTAATCCCGGTTGGGCTTCCAGTCCACTACGTTTCCTACCAGTACAATTTATTGGTTTATGTACACACAGACCTTCCCTGGAATCCAGAGTGTCTTGGTTCTTTGTCATCTCTGATCATTATTAGCCTTCCCTGACCATCCCTGACCCTCCTTGACCTTCCCCAACGTACCAATATTCTTAGTCTTTCACAATCTTCCAAACATTATTGGTTCTTCCAACGGTGGACTTCCCCGACAAACTGGCCTGCCCGAATCTCCCGTGGCCTTCCCATGACCTTGCTTGACCTTCCACCGGCGCAACAACCTTCCATGGCCTTCCTTGACCTTCCTTGACCTTCACGGTCACGCCACGAGGGCCCTTCCCAGGCAATGCGTCGGCGTGGCCGTCTCGGAAAGGTCCCCTCGTTCCACGTCCCCAGACGAGCGCGCGAGCGGAGCGCCACGTCTCCTGACACGCGGAGGCGGTAGCCTCATCAATATTCTAGGCACTGCCTCCTGCAGCAGGAGCCCCCCCCCCCAACCCACCGCCTCCCCGCCCCCCGCCACGTCCGCCGCTCAGGCACCGACGCCACGGCACGTGCACAACATTCATCGCCATCGCAAACGCCGCCACTCCGAAGCCATTATTTGCTCAAAAAATAAAATTTTATTGTGAATTTTTTTTTCTTTTTTTACAATCCAAGCGATTCCGCAGCGCTGGTCGTTCGTACAAATTCAAAGTGTCTTCACCCCCCCCCCCCTCCTTCTCTTCCACCCCCCCCTCCTCTCCGGTACCCAGTCAACATCCCACGGGCGAACCTTTTCACGCAATGCCTTTTGCACAACAAATCCGACATTCATTGGAGACGTCGTCGAGTCGATTGACGGAGACTTCGCCTCGACTCAAGTGGTCCGCAATCTGCCGGATCTCTCCACACTCCGGGCGCTCGTCAAAGCCGAGCCTCGACATCGTGGTGCCTTGCCGGGCGATCTCACGAGCCCGTGAGACGTTCGAGCTTGTGGGGGTCGCACGCGGCGCAGCAGCAGTCGGCAGAGCAGCGGAAATTCACGATTGGATTGCACAGTACTTCTATGGTACCGTTGTACGTTCCCACGCCCTCGCCAATCAGCGGCGGAGCAGCCTTGGTGAAGTATGGTCACGTAGCCCCCACGGGACCCGCACGAGACGAGGAGGGTGGGGAGGGTGGGGAGGGCCTTCGTCCAGCAGCGGATTGAGAGAAATGTCTTCAGCATGAAGTCGACCGAGCGTGGCGTCACGGAATGAACGAGCCACCTCGAGGGGCGTCTGGGTGTATGCTGCTTCGGCAAGCGCTGCCAGCGACGACTTGGCTACAGAAGGGGGTCTCGGGAATCACTGGGGGTGGGGGTGAGGGGTGAGACGGGCTGGCAATGCCCCTAGGTCCAGGCGTTTCAAATCCGGGCTCGCACTCGGGTGGTTGAAACCGTTTTTTTTATTGCATTACCGCTAACCGTATGGGAAAACCCGGGGAAAAACGGTGACTGGTTTGACGCACAGATTTAAATGTTTAGCAAGAAGCATAGCATGGTTACTTATTGAACTGACACACAGAAGGGGGTGCTACTGTGGTGTAATGGTAGCACCACTCGTGACTTGCAACCCAGAGGTCTCTGGTTCGATTCCATCTCCCGGGGCGACAGTCGTCCCAATGATACAAGTTTCAATCAGTCGATTAATTTCTAAACTACCACTAGAATAGGAAATTGATTCTGAAAACGGTTACCGGTTTCGCCCATTACAACCCTAGTCCACAACCCTAGTCCACAACAGATCAATGCATTGCGCAGCTTAGCTGCATGCAATTCTATTGCATGCAACTCTATTGCATGCAACTCTATTGCATGCAACTAAGCGCGCAATCAAGCTGCGATCAATTGCACAGCCGGTTGCTCCCAGTGGGGACAGACTCGACTTTCAAGTAGCGGGCTGCTCGGCGATTTGAAGCGACGCATTTCACGGCGAGCTGCACTGCGAATGGCTCGTTACGATTCCGAATGAGCGCGCCGCGCAACCGCTCGCTCCGAAGTGGACAAAGCGGCCGCAAGCGTTTGCGCGACCGCCCGTCCGGGCGCCCATCGTTCTCGGCGCGCTGCGGTGCCGCTGGGCCGCACGCCGCTATCCAATCAATCGGCAACCGCATCGTCAACGCGGTGCGAGCATCCTGCTCACGGGGTGCAGCAGATGTCCGTGGGCGAGTGCGCTGAGCCGTGGTCAACTCGCGCGGCGAAGAGCCGAACTCTCAGAGCGACGAGTCGAGGCCCATCCGCCCGGTTCGTCGCAAGGTCGTGAGATGAGGCGGTTGCATGAAGAGGGAAGCCCCCGTCATCCAGCAGTGCATGGGCCATGGCTGATAATCATGATGATCGGAGTTAGGATGAGACACGGGATTAAACGGTCCCAAAAAATACTCTAATCTGGACGAAGCACCGACTCAGTGATTGGGGGGGAGGGGTGTAACACCTGCAACTCCGCACAGATGAATCCAACAATCCATTGCTGTAAACTACATAATCTCCTGGTCGCCTCGACGCTCCGATTAGCCCACACCGCGTCAAGAAGGGGGCGCGCATCAAACCAAAATCGCAAGATCTATCTCCATCGACTCCATTTCGCATCCTCTTTGCAATGCAGCGCGTTGCCAAGTGGAACAAGTAAACTTGCACGGCCGCGTGAACGCAGCTGCCGTAGAACCTCGGTAGCAGGGGGAGCGATCGCTCCCTACACGTGGACACCTGCTGCTACTGCTGCTGCTACTGCTGCTGCTGCTACTGCTGCTACTGCTGCTGCTACTGCTGCTGCTACTGCTGCTACTGCTGCTGCTACTGCTGCTACTGGTGCTACTACTGCTGCTACTGCTGCTGCTACTACTGCTACTGCTGCTGCTACTGCTGCTACTGCTGCTGCTGCTACTGCTGCTACTACTGCTGCTGCTACTGCTGCTGCTGCTACTGCTGCTACTGCTGCTAATGCTGCTGCTGCTACTGCTGCTGCTACTGCTGCTGCTGCTACTGCTGCTACTACTGCTGCTACTGCTGCTGCTACTACTGCTACTGCTGCTACTGCTGCTACTGCTGCTGCTACTGCTGCTACTGCTGCTACTACTGCTGCTGCTACTGCTGCTGCTACTGCTGCTGCTGCTACTGCTGCTACTGCTGCTGCTACTGCTGCTGCTACTGCTGCTACTGCTGCTAATGCTGCTGCTACTGCTGCTGCTACTGCTGCTGCTGCTACTGCTGCTACTACTGCTGCTACTGCTGCTGCTACTACTGCTACTGCTGCTACTGCTGCTGCTACTGCTGCTGCTACTGCTGCTGCTGCTACTGCTGCTACTGCTACTGCTGCTACTGCTGCTGCTACTGCTGCTACTACTGCTGCTGCTACTGCTGCTGCTACTGCTGCTGCTGCTACTGCTGCTACTGCTGCTGCTACTGCTGCTGCTACTGCTGCTGCTACTGCTGCTGCTGCTACTGCTGCTACTGCTGCTGCTACTGCTGCTACTGCTGCTACTGGTGCTGCTACTGCTGCGGCTGCATCAGTCGCCCCCCACAGGATTGTTAGGACACCTCCCGATCCCTCACCGCATCTCAGCACGCTGCGAGCCGGACCTGTGTGCACAGGTGTGCACAGGTGTGCACAGGTGTGCACAGGTGTGCACAGGTGTGCACAGGTGTGCACAGGTGTGCACAGGTGTGGGAGACTGCCTTCAGGGAATAATAAACAACCGGTTGTGTAGGGTTGGGCTGCGAGATGGCAGTACAGAAATGGATTCCTGAATCTATCTGTGCGGAGTTTTGAGTGTGTGTGTGTGCGCGCGTGTCACGCCCTGCTAATACGTGATAGGGCTGTCTGGTTTGCTCTCACACGGAGTGCAACTTTCATTAATCATGGAATTCGTGGCCAAACATCCCAATGCCGCAGCACCCTCATGATCATAATCATCATCAGCCATGTTTAATCCACTGCTGGATGAAGCCCTCCCCAACCACCGCTGCCATCCCTCGTGCTCCCGCGACGTAACAATCCAACCAGCACCTGCGCGTCCCCTGATTTCACCGCTCCATCTCCTCTCATCAATACCAAGCGTGTGCTGCGAAGAAGGGTCATTGCTCGAAACGTCGCCTATTATATACCTTGATCAAGCCCCGTGGAGACAGAGAGAAAAAAATCAATATCAGACGGCTATTCCCTCCTTCCTTTAGCTGCGACAGCTGCCACAAGGGAGCAGAATTGACACCAGCGAGTGGCAGGATACAGACGCCCCTAGAGAATGCTCACAGCTGTAACACAGCAACAACAACAGCAGCTAGAGGAGTAAGACGCACTGTCGCGGGCAGTGGTAGTGCGCAGTTGTGAGATCACTCCCCTATGAAGCCGGCCACCTGCATTCGATCCCCGGCCACGGACGGTTAACGACATCGATGGCGAGTGATGTCTGACCGGCGTCCCCCCCCCTCTAACCCCAGGCAATGTTGTACTGTGCTATACCCCGTCTATGCTCCCCGTGTTCGGCAAACCCCGACTGATCGGCGGCGTGGCGAAGCATGGGCAAAGGATACGCGGCAGCAGTGGCTCGACAAAAGGAGTTCTGATTATAATCATTATTTTAAACACGCCGCGTGTAATAATCCACAACAACAGTAGTCGTGGTGGTGATGGTGGTGGTGATGGTGGTGGTGGTGATTGCGTTACCGTTGGCAGAAGCGGCTGCATTTGCGCTCCCTTATCCTCGTCCATTGCCGGCGAGAGAGGCGCGGGGTGGGGGTCGCCCTGCGATGTTCAGCCGGTGGTGCTCAGCCCGGATGTGCGATGGTCACTCTGTGCTGGTGGCCCTGTGGTGGCCACGCTTTGCCGGTCGCTGGGTGCTGCTCACCGCCGTATTGCTCACGCGCCGCACTTGTCGTGTGCATGCGCGGCTGTCCGCGTCTGCGTCTCCGAGGCGACGGCGAAGCGCGCGGCGAATCGAGGGGGCTTGGGGGGGGGGGGGCAGCTCGGTCAGAGGCTCCCGCGCCGGTCGCTCCGTCGGCTCAGCGAGGCGCCGAGACTCCTAATCGCCTCGCCACGACGCTCCACGCGTCTCCTCCTCCACCGCTTCCGGAAACGCCATGTATGGAGTGAGGCACGCGGGGCTATCGCGACTCAATAGAGACGCGCCAGCGGTGGTGATGGTGATTACGGTGGTGGTGATGGTGATTACGGTGGTGATGTTTATTCACGAATCGCGACCCCCGTGCGCGTCTCGCCGCCAGCGGGGTCACGGCGCACGGCGACCGGGCGCACCCAGCGCGCGCGTCCGCGTTGCGCAATCGCTGCTGCCCCTGCCGCTGCTGCCCCTGCCGCTGCTGCCCCTGCCGCTGCTGCCCCTGCCGCTGCTGCCCCTGCCGCTGCTGCCCCTGCCGCTGCTGCCCCTGCCGCTGCTGCCCCTGCCGCTGCTGCCCCTGCCGCTGCTGCCGCTGCCGCCGCGTGCAATGAACGCGGCCCGGGCGCCGAGAGCGCGTCCGCGTGAGTGGCCGCGCTTTGTTGGCATCGACGCGCGATTGCGCTCACCGTATCTCGATCGCCCCACTGGGGGATCGCGTCCCGCCGCGTAAACAAACAACAACAACCACCACCAGGTGCACTCACTCTGCACGATGCGCAGGGCTTTGGAATCTGAGCGCCCTCCCCTCTCTCCCCTGCTCCCTCTCACCAACCCCTGCCCCACGTTTCACGTCTCATTTCCACCCTCGTCGTCATCTTCCCGCACCCCTCCTCGTCCTCCCTCCGTGACAAGCGCGGAGCAAGACGGTGGTGGTGGTGGTGGGGGGGGGGGGGCTGCTTGCTGTCATCTCGCACAGAGCTGCCCCCCACTCGCCCCCCACTCGCTCACGCACAGATCGTGGCTCCCAGCCCAGTGGCTGTTACGCAGCAGGTGCCTTGTGGTCACATTGTGGTCACCTTGTGGTCACTGTGTGGTCACCTTGTGGTCACAGTGCGGTCACCTTGTGGTCACCTTGTGGTCACCTTGTGGTCACCTTGTGGTCACAGTGCGGTCACCTTGTGGTCACAGTGCGGTCACCTTGTGGTCACAGTGCGGTCACCTTGTGGTCACCTTGTGGTCACCTTGTAGTCACAGTGTGGTCACAGTGTGGTCACTTTGTGGTCACTGTGTGGTCACAGTGTGGTCACCTTGTGGTCACTGTGTGGTCACCTTGTGGTCACAGTGTGGTCACAGTGTGGTCACCTTGTGGTCACTGTGTGGTCACCTTGTGGTCACCTTGTGGTCACCTTGTGGTCACAGTGTGGTCCCCTTGTGGTCACAGTGTGGTCACCTTGTGGTCACCTTGTGGTCACAGTGTGGTCACCTTGTGGTCACCTTGTGGTCACAGTGTGGTCACCTTGTAGTCACAGTGTGGTCACAGTGTGGTCACCTTGTGGTCACCTTGTGGTCACAGTGTGGTCACCTTGTGGTCACCTTGTGGTCACAGTGTGGTCACCTTGTAGTCACAGTGTGGTCACAGTGTGGTCACCTTGTGGTCACCTTGTGGTCACAGTGTGGTCACCTTGTGGTCACCTTGTGGTCACAGTGTGGTCACCTTGTGGTCACCTTGTAGTCACCGTGTGATCACTGTGTGGTCACCTTGTGGTCACAGTGTGGTCACCTTGTGGTCACCTTGTGGTCACAGTGTGGTCACCTTGTGGTCACCTTGTGGTCACAGTGTGGTCACAGTGTGATCACAGTGTGGTCACAGTGTGGTCACAGTGTGGTCACTTTGTGGTCACCTTGTGGTCACCTTGTGATCACAGTGTGGTCACAGTGTGATCACAGTGTGGTCACAGTGTGGTCACAGTGTGGTCACCTTGTGGTCACCTTGTGGTCACAGTGTGGTCACAGTGTGGTCACCTTGTGAACACAGTGTGGTCACAGTGTGGTCACAGTGTGGTCACCTTGTGGTCACCGTGTGATCACAGTGTGGTCACAGTGTGGTCACAGTGTGGTCACAGTGTGGTCACTTTGTGGTCACAGTGTGGTCACAGTGTGGTCACCTTGTGGTCAGGGCGACCACCACTCCTCGCTACAGCGCTCGCCCCCCACCCCCCAGCCACACCACTCAACATTATCTCACAACACCACTGTCCCCCTCCCTCCCACCCAACTCACGCAGTCCCCCACCGCCCCCCCCCTCCCCAATCGCCCACCCCCCCCCCAATCGCCCCCCCAATCGCCCCTCCCCAATCGCCCCCCCCAATCACCCACCCCCCCCAATCGCCCACCTGGCCACGTCAACCCACATCCAGCGAGCCGTGCCACGCTAAGGCAACTTTGCTCTTGCTGCCAATATTGCTGCTGCTGCTGATGACCATGGCGCTGCTGCTGATGACGCCACTACCGCTACTGCTGCTGTTCTTCCAGATGCTGCGACTGCTGCTGCTGCTGCAGCTGCCGACAATTCTGCTGCGTAAATCAGCGGCGTCTCAGCGGGCGAAGAGAGCATGGCTACGTGCCGAGCTCCAACAATTGTCCTTCCTTCATTCATTCGAGCGATTTATTCATTTAATTATTAACTAAGTCCTTAACGCGTGCATTCAAATATGCATGCATTAATACGGTGAAATCCCGTGCATACATTCGTTGAATGCGTGACGATGCTCCATCACACATAAACCCAGCCACTCACAAATTAATTAGCTAATCGGTTCATTCATTCACGAGCTCATTCGTTCATTAACTAGCATGCACAATTCTGAATAACGACGCTCGTAAAACCAACGAATTGATTAACCCGAAAATGCATCGACGTATTAACTCACTCGTGCATTCACTAATTCCCCGACTCGCTTGCAGGCGTGCTGCTGCCGCTGTTGCTGCAGAGAGCGCTGCTGGTGCGTTCACGGCTTCCACGCTGCCAGGGGCTGCAGAGCAGACCTCGTTGGTAGTGAGTGACTCATTTATTCATAGATTCATCCACTCGCTCATTCACTCGCTCATTAACCCGCTCATAAACCCATTCGTAAATTCGCTCGCAGGCGTGGCGCTGCTGCAAAATCAATCATGAACCAACGCATTAATTTATCAAACGTTAACGCATTCAAATGTTTCAATCGCCCGCATTGTGTCCAGAATGCATGCATTCACTCATTACTGTATCAACTCATTCATGAACTCATCGCTTTACTCATTCGCACGCGCGCTGCCACAAAGCGTTGCAGTCCAGGAGCAGCCGTCCAATCACTCCCTCTGCCTGTGACTCACCGACTCCCTCCTCTCTGTTAAACATCACCCGCCTGAGGCTTTTCCATACCGCGGATTGAGAGATGCGGTCGCAATTTAGAGGCGGCTACGTCAATCCCCAACGGCGTTGTTGTTGTTGTACCTTCGGTGGGGCAGTGGTTATTGTTGTTGTTGTTATTGTTGTCGTTGTACCTGGGGTGGGGCAGTGGTTATTGTTGTTGTCGTTGTTGTCATTGTTGTCGTTGTACCTGCGGTGGGGCAGTGGTTATTGTTGTTGTTGTCATTGTTGTCGTTGTACCTGCGGTGGGGTAGTGGTTATTGTTGTTGTTGTTATTGTTGTCGTTGTACCTGCGGTGGGGTAGTGGTTATTGTTGTCGTTGTTGTCATTGTTGTCGTTGTACCTGCGGTGGGGTAGTGGTTATTGTTGTTGTTGTTATTGTTGTCGTTGTACCTGCGGTGGGGTAGTGGTTATTGTTGTCGTTGTTGTCATTGTTGTCGTTGTACCTGCGGTGGGGCAGTGGTTATTGTTGTTGTCATTGTTGTCGTTGTACCTGCGGTGGGGTAGTGGTTATTGTTGTTGTTGTTGTTATTGTTGTTGTTGCTGCTGCGTCTCAAGACTCGCTTTCAGGAGGGCCCTGCCTGCAGGTGTTACCGCAGTGGGGGGGAGGAGGAGGCGATGCTGCTGCTGCTGCATCGCGGCTACGAAGCCCGCACCTGAGTTCGAACCCCGGTCACGGCTAACATCAGAGGCGAATTACATCACCAACCCGCACAGACCAAGATGGTGAAGTATGGTCAACCACATGACCGACACGGCGTGGGGAAGGGGGGGGTAGATGGGGGGGGGTGTGGCGCGGGGAGGAGCACTCATCCAGCAGTGGATTGACAATCGGGCTGCTGCGCGAGTCACTGCAAACACGGTGTCTGGACGATGTGTGGGGACGCTGCACGAGGCACTCACGCACAGTGACGTCACCCCTCCCGGCTCGTGACGTCACCCCTCCCGGCTCGTGACGTCACCCCTCCCGGCTCGTGACGTCACCCCTCCCGGCTCGTGACGTCACCCCTCCCGGCTCGTGACGTCACCCCCCCCCCCCCCGGCTCCTGCTGCACGCGCACGGAGTCGGCCGGCCACGTGCTCGCTTCGCGGCCCATTTATCGAGCGGATCAAACATCGCGCTAATTTGTATATCAAAGCCATGTTTTTTTTTGGATCATAGCAAAAATAAACTACAGACAGCTACTGCTGCTGCGTGACTCACATCCAACGCATAATAATATTAATTTACATTTCTAAAGTGGTGCATTTCATCCGTCGATCCCAGTGCGTCACCGTGTTTGGAAAATAAGTCAACAATCATAACCTTACTAAGCTTCAAATCAAGATTTAATCATAACCTGTAGGGTGAACGGCTGGAACTGGTGCGGTGTAAAGGCCAGATGATTACACCACGCGTGTAATAATCGATTAATAAACTGTGATAAATGCACCGAGCGACGAGTGTGCACATTAACGCCACTGCAGTGCCGTCACAGTCGCGTTGAGCGGAGACATTCACGCGAGCACTTCGCGTCTCTGCCAAACAGCGGTGGCTCACACCGCCAATCACCATATGTCGTCATCGCCTCTTGACCTCCGTTGTTCCATCACCTATAACCCCTTACAGAACTTCCTTCGTCAAAGTCTCACCTCTCACCATCACAATCAGTGGGTCCATCGGACCAACTTCGTCAGGTCTATGACAGCATTTGTGAATGGATGAGAAGGGGATGAGGAGCGGGGGGGGGGGCAGCCCCCACCATTGCACGCGAGGTCAGTGTAGTCTGTGCACGGCTCCTCTGGCAGGCGACACTCGAGCGTCGATGAGCGACAAAGCATTGCGGGCTCTTCACCGCAGTTGCAGGCCGTCCTCCGGGCCCCCCAGGCCGTCCTCCGGGCTCCCCAGGGCGTCCTCCGGGCCCCCCAGGGCGTCCTCCGGGCCCCCCAGGGCGTCCTCCGTGCCCCCCAGGGCGTCCTGCGGGCCCCCCAGGGCGTCCTCCGGGCCCCCCAGGGCGTCGTCCTCCGGACCCCCCAGGACGTCCTCCGGGCCCCCCAGGGCGTCCTCCGGGCCCCCCAGGGCGTCGTCCTCCGGACCCCCCAGGACGTCCTCCGGGCCCCCCAGGCCGTCCTCCGGGCTCCCCAGGGCGTCCTCCGGGCCCCCCAGGGCGTCCTCCGGGCCCCCCAGGGCGTCCTCCGTGCCCCCCAGGGCGTCCTGCGGGCCCCCCAGGGCGTCCTCCGGGCCCCCCAGGGCGTCGTCCTCCGGACCCCCCAGGACGTCCTGCGGGCTCCCCAGGGCGTCCTCCGGGCCCCCAAGGCGCGGAGGCCTCGGGTGCCGGGGGCCGCTCGGCAGCACCCCGGGAGGCGCTCCGGACGTCCCCAGCTGCAGATCGCGCGCGGCTCCGCCCACCCCTGACGATGTTCCCAATCCACGCATCTGGGCTCTGCTGGATTGTTCTAAAGTAGCCTTTGCTGTCCACGCCACTTTAGACTCTAAGAGCATCGTTTGGTTTGAATACATCGCTACCTGAATAATCTTTGTACATTATTCGCGTCATCGTCATCATTATTCTGATTAAGACGTGGGCTTTCGCGACCAATACATTAATATAATCGTGGTTTTTGGGTTAGATCGCGATCATCATTATTATTGTAATTAATGTTGTTGTGCCAGTGCAGCACCCTCTTAAAAATGAGTCTAGAGACTCTCATCGCCTCCCATCCCCTCTCACCCCCCACCCCTCCCATCCTCAACCCACACCCCCTCCCATCTCATCTCCCACCCACGCCGCTCCTCATTAAACGAAGCGAGGATGTTTGTTGTTGGGCCGATCCCGCGGGAAGGGAAGGCGCGCGGCGTGGCTTACATCCCCTACATCCCCAACATCCCCTACGTCCCCTACATCCCCTACAACCCCTACGTCCCCTACATCCCCTACAACCCCTACATCCCCTACGTCCCCTACATCCCCTACATCCCCTACATCCTCTACATCCCCTACATCCACTACATCACCTACAACCCCTACAACCCCTACAACACCTACATCCCCTACATCCCCTACAACCCCTACATCACCTACAACCCCTACATCCCCTACATCCCCTACAACCCCTACATCCCCTACATCCTCTACATCCCCTACATCCCCTACATCCTCTACATCCCCTACATCCCCTACATCACCTACAACCCCTACATCCCCTACATCCCCTACAACCCCTACAACACCTACAACCCCTACATCCCCTACATCGTCTACATCCCCTACATCACCTACAACCCCAACATCCCCTACATCCCCTCATCCCCTACAACCCCTACATCCCCTACATCACCTACAACCCCTACATCCCCTACATCCCCTACGTCCCCTACATCCCCTACGACCTCTACATCCCCTACGACCCCTACGACCCCTACATCCCCTACAACCCCTACATCCCCTACAACCCCTACATCCCCTACATCTCCTACATCCCCTACATCCCCTACATCCCCTACAACCCCTACATCCCCTACATCTCCTACAACCCCTACATCCCCTACATCGCCTACATCCCCTACAACCCCGACGTCCCCTACGTCCCCTACAACCCCTACATCCCCTACGACACCTACATCCCCAACATCCCCTACAACCCCTACGTCCCCTACGTCCCCTACATCCCCTACATCCCCTACAACCCCTACATCCCCTACATCCCCTACACCCCCTACACCCCCTACGTCCCCTGCAACCCCTACGTCCCCTACATCCCCTACATCCCCTACAACCCCTACATCCCCTACATCCCCTACGTCCCCTACATCCTCTACATCCCCTACGACCTCTACATCCCCTACGACCCCTACGTCCCCTACGTCCCCTACAACCCCTACATCCCCTACGACCCCTACAACCCCTACATCCCCTACAACCCCTACGTCCCCTACGTCCCCTACAACCCCTACATCCCCTACGACCCCTACATCCCCAACATCCCCTACAACCCCTACGTCCCCTACGTCCCCTACATCCCCTACATCCCCTACAACCCCTACATCCCCTACATCCCCTACACCCCCTACGTCCCCTACAACCCCTACGTCCCCTACATCCCCTACATCCCCTACATCCCCTACAACCCCTACATCCCCTACAACCCCTACATCCCCTACATCTCCTACATCCCCTACAACGCCTACATCCCCTACATCCCCTACACCCCCTACACCCCCTACATCTCCTACATCCCCTACAACCCCTACGTCCCTTACATCCCCTACAACCCCTACATCCCCTACATCCCCAACATCCCCTACGACCCCTACATCCCCTACGTCCCCTACATCCCCTACATCCCCTACATCCCCTACGTCCCCTACATCCCCTACATCCCCTCAGACCCCTACGACCCCTACGTCCCCTACGTCCCCTACATCCCCTACAACCCCTACATCCCCTACGACCCCTACGACCCCTACATCCCCAACATCCCCTACAACCCCTACATCCCCTACAACCCCTACAACCCCTACAACCCCTACGTCCCCTACGTCCCCTACATCCCCTACATCCCCTACAACCCCTACGTCCCCTACGTCCCCTACATCCCCTACATCCCCTACGTCCCCTACGTCCCCTACATCCCCTACATCCCCTACAGCCCCTACAACCCCTACATCCCCTACAACCCCTACATCCCCTACATCCCCTACAACCCCTACATCCCCTACATCTCCTACATCCCCTACATCCTCTACAACCCCTACATCCCCTACATCTCCTACATCCCCTACATCCTCTACAACCCCTACATCCCCTACGACCCCTACGTCCCCTACATCCCCTACAACCCCTACGTCCCCTACAACCCCTACATCCCCTACATCCCCTACAACCCCTACGTCCCCTACGTCCCCTACATCCCCTACATCCCCTACCTCCCCTACGTCCCCTACATCCCCTACATCCCCTACATCCCCTACAACCCCTACATCCCCTACGTCCCCTACATCCCCTACATCCCCTACATCCCCTACAACCCCTACGTCCCCTACATCCCCTACGTCCCCTACGTCCTCTACAACCCCTACAACCCCTACATCCCCTACAACCCCTACGTCCCCTACAACCCTTACACCCCCTACATCCCCTACAACCCCATACATCCCCTACATCCCCTACAACCCCTACAACCCCATACATCCCCTCCCGTCATGAGATTGGACTGGGAGGGGTGGGAGGGGGTTGGAAGTCGACGCCGGTCAGAGACTGCGAGCCCAGCGTGGCCCGCATCGCTCATCATCTTTATTAGTCTGCTTTCATGTTTTGATTTAAAGCTTTCGTGACTGCAGTAATTCATATTCTTTGCTCTTTCGGTAAAGTGACGTTGAAGGGAAACAATAAAATAATAAAATATATAAAATAATAAAAAAAATTCTCACGACGTTTCGACAATAACACAAACGGTCATCATCAGGTGTGAAAAAACAAACGGCAAGAAACATTTGAAAGAAATGGCGGTCAGCATTTATATATTTATTTATCTACTTATTTGTTTATTTTTTTAAGACGGCGCATTTACTCATTTAAATAAACGTTTGCGCCACGGGCAGCGATTTGGCAGTTTATTTAGAAGGACGAGTCCATCTATGTTCTGAAAAGAGGGGGGGGGGGGGAGACGAAAAATTAATGTATGCTGTCTGAAAGCCACCGTAAGTGTGAACAATCACATATACAAGAGAAGATGGATTCTGGCTTAGCAATCATTGGAAGGATTTGATAAACCATTTCAGGTCTTAATTGATTGTTCACGCTTTCGGTGGCTGTCAGACAGCATACATTAATTTTTCGTCTCCCCCCGCCTCTTTTCAGAACATAGATAATAAATAAATGCAAACCGCCACTTCTTTCAAATGTTTCTTGCCGTTGGGTTTTCACACCTGATGATGACCGTTTGCGTTATGGTCGAAACGTCGTGAGAATTTTTTTTATTGTTTTATATATATATTTTATTATTTTATTGTTTTCCTTCAACGTGACTACCGAAAGAGCTAAGATTATGCTTTCATGTTGTTTTTATACACACACCTCACTCACCCCCACCGCCTCGGCCCCCCCCCCTCCACCATTGCCCCCCAGTTATGTTCCAAGTGCACGTATCGGCTTCATCATTTTGTCACGAACACGTGCAGCCCCCTATCAATCCACACTATCGGATGTGAGGGGTGAACTGTCCATTCTTCACCGTGCTGGTCAATGCGGGTTGCACGTTGCAGGCATGGTGCACCGCACGACAACGGACTCTGCTGAACTGCCTCCGCGTGACGATGCAGTCCCGCAGCCTATAGCACCTGTTGGGTGCAGGGCGGACCCCACCCGTACGAGCACTCGTAAGGTGCAACAATAATGCGATCCGATTATTCATGTATAGAGTAACGTCTTCACTGAAGGCGCTTGACATCGTTAAAATAAGAAGGCGACAGAATAGGATGATTCGGGTGACAGGGGGCGAGCTGCAAGGATTGAGGAATGGGTGAGCGCGATAGAGGGGTACTTCGGGATCAGGGAAGGGTAGGGGAGGGACGGGAAGGAGTGGAGGGGCGAGCTTCCGAGAGATCGAGAGATGAGATTTGATCACGAGATGTTATTTGTCGACAGATCGATGCTTGTCCTCTTGGACCCCCCGCAGATATCACCGCGACTTTACATCGTGCGGGAGAGCGGCCACGGGGAAGAGGACATCATATAACTAAATTTTGATTTAAAGCTTTCGTGACTGCAGTAATTTATAATCTTAGTTCTTTCGGTAAAGTCACGTTGAAGGGAAACAACAAAATAATAAAATATATATAAAACAATAAAAATTCTCACGACGTTTAGACCATAACACAAACGGTCGTCTTCAGGTGTGTTGGTTTGCATAAATGTATTATTAAACGGCGCATTTATTTATTTATTAAAAAAACCGTTAGCGCCACGCGCAGCGATTTGGCAGTTTATTTAGGACTAGTCCATCTATATTCTGAAAAGAGGAGGGGGGAGACGAAATTTATCTTTTCAGAATATAGATGGACTAGTCCTAAATAAACTGCCAAATCGCTGCGCGTGGCACTAACGTTTTTTTTTTATAAATAAATAAATGCACCGTTTAAAAATACATTTATGAAAACCAACACACCTGAAGACGACCGTTTGTGTTATGGTCTAAACGTCGTGAGAATTTTTATTGTTTTATATATATTTTATTATTTTGTTGTTTCCCTTCAACGTGACTTTACCGAAAGAACTAAGAATATCATATAACTACTTCTGAGGTCACTTCAAATGCCTGTCATCCACACGAGGTGGTGCTCCGATTTGTTTGCCTTGCAAAGATCGCCCACCGCATGGCAATGAAAAGACAAAAAAAATCATAACCACATTTGATAATCATCATCATCATCAGCTCTGGTCAAAATTCACTGTTGGGTGTAATCACCTGGCCACATGCACCACAGATTATTTAATCGCTCCATCTCCTCCATGGCCGTAACATCTCGGACGCGTGTCATCTGGCGAGATGGCCCAGTGGTAGCGCGTTCTCCGTTCGGCACAGAGGTCCGAGCGGCGGCCCTGATTAATACTGCGGGTGTAGTAACCATCGTAAAATTCCACACAGTCTGATTTACAGTGGACCTTAGGTTATCCCGCGACGTCATTCGCAAGAGTCGACCGCTGTTTGGCGGCGTCAGTGTATCATCAGCCCTGTATTGACAAGCATAATGATGCTCCAGGTCGCTCTTGCACATGAGACTATCCTGGTCTCTTAATCAAAATAAACTTTACACTCCAAACAATCAGTGGGCCCGCCACTCCGTTAAACTATTCCTGGCGAACCAAGTGTAATATTAAGGGATTTTTTTTTTAAATGAGCAGTTCTTGGTCACCGAGCTGAATCGATGAACTCGCTACACGGGAGACCCCGGTCCAATCATGCCACGGGTGGCTAGGAGATGTTAACTACCCCGCCTGTGTGCAGGAGTTCGTGGGTTCGATCCCGACCCTGACGCCTGCTGCTGTATATTTGGAGTTTGCGTGTCTCTCTCTCTCATCATCACGGTGGCTAGGAGATGTTAACTACCCCGCCTGGTGTGCAGGAGGTCGTGGGTTCGATCCCGACCCTGACGCCTGCTGCAGCTGTATATTTGGAGTTTGCGGTGTTTCTCTCTCCCCGTGGTTGCGTGGATTTTCTCCGGGTCCTCCGGTTTTTTCCTCATTTAGAATCAAGGTTTATTTCGAGTGCTATAAATTAGGGGACGTCCATAAATTACATCACGCACCTGGGGGGGGGGGGGTCAGATATTTGTGACGATTTGTGACGAGGGGGGTGAGAAATGTGACGTCACATCAAAATGCGCAACTTTAAATAAATATAGACAACACGTTCTACTTAATAAAATAGACTTTTTAATAAATGTTTTCTCCTACAACATCAGAGTGCAGCGCCACATTAAGTAAGTACTACAATGACAATAGTTTAAAGCGATTTGAGGCATATTCTTGGTTCTTTCGGTAAAGTCACGTAGAAGGGAAACAATAAAATAATAAAACTAGATTTGTATTATATAATAAAATTTTTTTTTTAATTATTTTGATAAAAATAATAAAAATCTATTTTCATAAAAATAATATAAATATATTTTTATTATTTTATTGTTTCCGCTCTACGTGACTTTGCCGAAAGAAACAGGAATATGAATCCGTGCAGTCACAAAAGCTTTAATTCAAGATTTGAAGCAAGTTTTTTTTTTTGGGGAGGGGGGCAGAGCTTTGTGACGTCATATTTGAGGGGGGGTCTGACTTTTTGTGACGCCGTGTGACGAGGGGGGGGGGTCAGAAATCGTCCAAAATCACGTGACGTCATTTATGGACGGCCCCTTACCACGTGATAAGCCACTTCGTCGCTGTTGAAAAGGAGCTACACAGCTGAGTGGGGCCTTACCTGGTAAAATAAAAAAAAGTTTAGTTTAGATTCGCGGGCCGCTGACAAACGCGCGGACTCGAACCCAGAAAATCGGCGGCGTGAGCGTCGCCGACACGGCCATCGTGAACCCTCTCTGAGCCGTTGCACAACGGCAGTCATCACCGCATCATCATCATCATCGCGCGCTTTCTGATGCGCTGCTGCGACTCTGATGGAACGCCCTTTCCTTCCGATGTTCGGAAGCCGCTGGGAGCTAATGGCACTTTTAAAATAATCATCTAGACTGACAAACTCATTTCTTCAAAAACTGCTTTTTTGTGTTTAGCTTGTTGTCCATCCCCCGCGCCTCCGATATTAGCACGGTTGGCTACGTACGGTGCGAAAGAAGTTCAACATACATACGTACACACGTTCAATCCCCCTCCCCCTCCAACCCCCCCCCCCCCCTCCCCTCCCCCCACGAGTCTTGTGGGGCCTCGTGTCACGGACACGGCGATCTAAGACAATTCCCACGCGGGGCTGTTCGATCGGTGAAGAGGACATTGCGGTTTGCGTTCAGTGGGGCATGGGGGGAGAAGCGGTGCGCTGGGAATTGGGAAGCGTTCTCGAGATGTTGAATTTGCGATCCCGAAAAAAAGTCGGGACACCGTTTGAAGTCCCAGCGGAGGTGCCTCTGGGAGCATTGGTGATCGGTCTGAAAACGTTGAGATCTAAGTTTCAATAAAAATTTTTGTAAATATTTTTTAATAATACATGTTATCCATAACAGGTTTTTTATTGGGTTAGATCACGTGAATATATAAATGTGTCGTTAACCTCACCACCATCTGACACAGCCAATTAGTAAGGTTTGTCACGTAAACAGAACATGCCAATTTGTTACTAGTACATCATACCGGTGTGTTGGAAAGGAAACCCACAAAATTTTACAATTCGAGTACGACGTTTCGTCAGTAATTACAACTAGCATCGGCAGGCGACTATGATTTTAAATATGTTAATGTTACAACATGGGACATTTTTTTCCCTAGTATCAAAAAGGTTACATTTTGCAGCAGCTCACCCCGAGCTATGAATGCTCTGACACGTGTGGCATTGTACTTGTACTGCTCGCCTTGTGGCGGTCTCTGGTCTGACACTGGTGAGGCTAGGCTCTAAAGAAGGCTGCTGTCTCTGGTGTAGACCAATCAGTTTCAAAGACAATGCCATATATTATCAGAGCATGTGTTTTGTTTGTATGTGTAGGGGCAGGGTTGGCCACGATCGCCACTCCTCGTAGCCGGCAGTACTAGCTTAAGCCAGTAGAGAGCAGAAGGGAGGCCGGACATGCTCAACAGTAATGATGGGCAGCTGGCCCTGGGCAATCCCTGGGGGGAGCATCGGGACTAACGGTTGAGACCCCAGGCCCCCGGAAGGGGCTGGGGGATGAGGTCATTCTCCAGGGCCTTCGAGAAGGTTCTGGAGGGGAGGCGTGGCCAGGGGCGGAGTGAGCCGGGACCCGGTATATAAGTCAGGGACCTGAACGGCTCGAGTCAGTATCGTCCGGCTGAAGACTGAAGACCGACCTGGGAGCCCTGAAGAGAGAAGACCTCTGTGGGCAAAGCCGAACCCCTGGCTAGGGTGAGGCTTGAGCTGTACCAGTGAACCTCCGAGCTTATAACCAGCGAAGACTCCAGAGAAGACTCAAGCCCCGGTAGTGTAGGCGCAGCGATAGCCAGAAGAGGCGAGCTAGCCGGCTACGTAGAGCATCGGGTGAAAGGGGCCGTTAAATGTTATAATAATCGTGTGGCCTCTGAGTGAAAGTTCTCTCCAGTTTATGACCCACTGCATATGTTCACCACATTGTACGTGTGATTAATGCGGACAGGATTCCTCAAAAAATGTTTTTATTTGGTGTTTGAACATCTTAACACAACTGTTTAATTGCCAGACAGGGTTTTTTTTAAATGTCATGTTATTGTTCGTTGTAATGTTAGGTGAGGACCACTCGGTCTGTGCTCTCCAGTTGCCTGGGTGAAGAGTCGTCGTCTACATTCCCCCCAATCCTGGCCAGCTGGATCAACGCTCTTAACAGATGAACGATTGATGCACAACAAGAGTTGGCATTGCGGAGGAGTTTACTCAGGAATCGTGACGTCTCCGGGATTGATTTAGTGGGCAACCTTTTAATCAGATGTGGAGGATTTTCTCTCTGTGGGTAAGTGCCGAAGGACCAAACCACCTTGGAGTCAATGTTCGTGTGAATCGCAGAGAGACGGGCACAGCGGACGCGTTCGCGAACTCGTCATTAGAGGCGCTCCTCCACACACCCTCCCTCCACACACTCCACACACCCCCAACCCACACA